GGACACGGATTATCTCGAGGTCCTTGGCGCATCTGTCCATGCAAGAAAACAAAAGTACTCCTACATGGTGGAGCGGAGCTCGAGAAATGCAACAGGAGCAGAACACATCACTTGCTTGGGGATGGGATCGTCGCAGAGCAATTGTTTAAGTGTTTGACTCCAAGCTACTCCCTCTGTTCCGAAATGTATGTAGTTTAACGATCTGGCGTACAAAATTTCCTAAGCTACGAAATGAGAAAAATTCTCTACAGGCCCTATAACTTGCGCTGGCGGCCACTTTAGTCCCTGTGATTAGAAATACCCGAAATGCAATCACTAAACTAGAGGTTCATCTACGGTTCAAAATACAATTTTTTATACGTATGTGCTGATCTGGCCTTGGTCAACGGCTACCAACTGTGCCCGACGACGATGACGAGCACGCCTAGGGCTAGCTTTTTTTTATGTTGGATGTGGACGCGTGGACTATCGCCGGTCTTCGTGGCCGGTTTTTATGTTTAATTAAATGTTTGTTTTTATTTTTTAATTGTTTCTTTTGCGCGTCGTTAAAATGGGTCGGATCAGTATTGGGCGCATGCGCCAACCCAAATGTGGAAGCGGATATTGATATCCGTCAGGCCGACTCAAACGGACAAATCCGTCGTCCGTTTGGGTCGGTATGTTGGAGTTGCTCATCCTTCACACATAAACAAGTGACACGGAGAAAAAAAAACAAGTGACACGGAAATATAATTTTCAGTTGATTGACACCCAGTTGATCCCATTTTATTCAGCTCCTCGTACCACACGCTTCACCGCGGGAGCCCCTCGGGCGATTTGGCTGGAGGATAAAGCACCACCGAGTGGCTCCCGGTCCAGTGGTGCCGCGAGAAAGTCGTCCTCCTGTTGGAATGCCATACCTGCAAGCGCTCCAGAAGAGCAAGCTAGTCCACATGGCCAGGCTGCTCCTCCTCCTCCTCCTCGTGGTCGTCCTCCTGGTCTTCGGCTCGCCGGCGGCAGCGTCCGAGCGGCGGCGGAACGCCATCACGCACGTCAAAGGTTTCGATGGCCCTCTGCCTTTCTACCTGGAGACGGGGTACGTGGAGGTGGACGCCACGCACGGCACGGAGCTCTTCTACTACTTCATCCAGTCGCAGCGCAGCCCGAAGGAGGACCCCCTCATCGTGTGGATCACCGGCGGCCCCGGCTGCTCCGCCTTTTCCGGCCTCTTCTTCGAGATCGGCCCTCTCAAATTCGACGTGGCCAGCTACACCGAGGGGTTCCCGACCCTGGTCTACTTCGAGGACTCCTGGACCAAGGTGAGCAACGTCATATTCCTCGACGCGCCCGTCGGCACGGGCTCCTCCTACGCGCGGGAGGAGCAGGGCCTCAACGTCAGCCTCACCGGCACCGGCGCGCAGCTCCGGATATTCCTCGAGAAGTGGATCGCCGACCACCCCGAGTTCACCTCCAACCCGCTCTACATCGGCGGCGACTCCTACTCCGGCTACCTCGTGCCGGTCACCGCGCTCGAGATCGCCAATCATAATGATGCCGGCCACGCAAGCGGAGGCCAGAAGCTCAACCTTCAGGGCTACCTGGTGGGCAACCCTGGCACGGACGACAGGTACGACACCCCGGGCAAGGTGCCTTTCATGCACGGCATGGGGCTCATCTCCGACGAGCTCTACGAGGCGGCGCGGGTCAGCTGCAGCCGGGACGACTTCGTCACGCCGAGCAATGCGCGGTGCGCCAACGCGCTCGACGCCATCAGCCTGGTCACCACCGACATCAACCCCGTGCACGTACTGGAGCCCTTTTGCGGCCTCGCGCTGCGAGACCCCGGCAGCGCCACCGTCTTCACGAAGACGGCGAGGCTGCTGCTCCAGGACAACCTGGAGCACAGGCTGGCCCTCCCCGTGGAATGCCGGGACAACGGGTACCGGCTGTCGTACATCTGGTCGGACGACGCGGAGGTGAGGGAGACGCTGGGCATCCGCGACGGCTCCATCGGCGCGTGGAGCCGGTGCACCACGCTGGCGCACTACCGGCACGACGTGCGAAGCGCAGTACCGTACCACGTCAACCTGACGCGCCGGGGCTACCGGGCGCTGGTGTACAACGGTGACCACGACCTGGACTTCACCTTCGTGGGCACGCAGGCATGGATCAGGACGATGGGCTACCCCGTGGTGGCGCCATGGAGGCCGTGGTACTCCAAGCAGCAGGTCGCGGGGTTCACGACGGAGTACGCCTACAACCTCACCTACGCCACCGTCAAGGGCGCCGGGCACACCGCGCCGGAGTACCGCCCCAAGGAGTGCCTCGACATGCTTGACAGATGGACCTCGCCCGCCGGCAAGCTCTGACTCCGCTCCATTACGAACCACGCATTTCGTGTGCATACTATTTCAAAGAAACAAAATGGCTCGTCCGTCGACTTAGAAATAGTTGCTTCACATGTGTGCATAATAGAAATAGCAAAATCGTCAAGTGATCAATGGTCAAATATGCTTGGAGTCCGAAGTCTGACCAGTATATGGCGTTATTGTAGTGGTTAGCCATCCACTTCATGTGTACACGTTTTGAAATCAAATCTAAGCACAGTCTAAGTACAGTATTTTGGATAACAAAGTTGGACCAGTAGAAAGGCATTACCTGTAGCGACAGGAGTAGAGGTTTTGTTACCAACACGCATGTTTTGCTATTCATTTGATTTCATTTTACTGAGACTGACAGGCTCTTACTGTGCTAGCCAAGATATGTCTTTTCTTTTTTGTGAGATTAGCCAAGATATGTCAAGAACGCGACACCTCTACACCTTGCAGATTCCTCTCAAATCGTTAACTCATGCGAGCAGAAAAATAGGCGGCACAAAAAACAAAAATGAGGTCGCTATCCTGAAACCGAACGAAGTGCCGCATGGATGTCACACAAGAACCATCTAGAGCAGGTGTCCCGGAAAGATTTCTACGAAAGGTCTGACTAGGACACATTTAAATATGACATAATTATGTCATATCTAACCTCATGTCCATTATATTTGTGGCTTATTTATTTATTTGTCCTAACATTTTTTTTATTCTTTGTTGTTGCCTTATTTGTGGGAGGTTAGATGTAACATTCTTAGAAAACATCTAGATGTAAATTAGACAAACTATTCTACAAAACCCATGAAACTGTGTGCCCACCAAGCCACCATTTTCACCCCTGTCATGTCAAGATTTGTTGTTATTCAAATTCAAACACACCGCATGGTTCAAATGAAGTAAATAACATGATAAAAGCAAGGCTACAAAGTGTTATGGAGATGCTAGTGATGCTCAACAAGATCATGTTGGAGCTAGGTATGAACTTCTTGGTTCTAGATCCTACGATGCACTTCGAGAAATGTCTGAATCCTATTAGGACCGTGCTCTCGCTCAACACGGATTCCCATTGATGATGTACCAAAAGTTCTCAAGCATGTGTCTCTCATATTTAATGATCATGTTATGCAAGATGTTGCAACTAGTCATGATTTGTCATAGAACCTTGGAGTTTCAATATTCAGCAGGGCCACAAACGATTGCAAAGCACTTTTGAAGCACACCAAAAGCTCTCTCCACATCCTTTCTAGTTCACTGTTGGCGTGTTGCAAGGTGATAACTTTTGCTACCTTTTAAACGTGGAATTGTTTTAACAAATGTGACTCGTGGAGGATAGATGTCACCCGCAAGGTAGTAACCCATAATGTACTCATGACCATTAATTGTATTGTTGCAAGGAGGAGCATCTCCGATAACAAGCCTAGCAAACAACGATGACCTCGACAGCACATTCAGGTCATTATGAGAACCAGGAAATCCAAAGAGTGAATGCCAGATACATAGATCCTCTGAGGAACAGCCTCAAGAATGATCGTTGGATCGTTGAAGTGGCCTTTTGTACTGACCTTTCCATCATGCGGGATAATTCTTCTATGTACAGAGCATGCAGTCAACTAATCCTCTCGGTGTCTTCCTCGTTGGGTGCCCTCAAGTACTCCAGCCCAAAGACATCAAGCACTTCTTTTGCGAACCTTAGAACGACCTCCAAGATTGTATCTTCTCCGATGTAGACATAGTCATCAATTGCATCGGCCCAACACCCATGTGCTAGAATTTGAACAGCCGCAATACACTTCATCAAAGGGCTCGCACTTATCTCTCGCATGCATTCCTTCTAAGCTTGAACCAATCATCATACTTCTCCATGGCTTTTGGAATGGTGAGAAAGAGACTTGTTTGCATCCAAAAGAGGCGGCAAAAATACTTCTTCGAATAGGTTAGATTAGGGTCAAAATAATCTCTCATAATCTTGGCATGACCCTCGGCTATTCACGATTGAGTTGTATGTGGCCAAATTACGATCCTCTCCTCGGCCTCCAGATATCATCGTTGAAAGTCATGCCAATGACAATTTCAAAGTCATCGTCATCTTCTTCCTTCACGGGATGACGATGAGTCCTCGAAGATCATCTCTCTCATCCTATTCATCTTCAACTGAAACAATTCGGTTCAATTCAATTGGACAAAACAAAATGAGACAAAAAAAATACTCACATCCAAAACGTCGAACACTTGCAAGGCGGTGGTGCTCTATGGGTTGGTCGGTGTTGAGCGAGTAAATTGCACGAAACCACCACTTTGAAGGCTAGGTTTGCAGAAAACACTACGTTACATTCTTTTTGCGAAAAACACTGTGTCTACCGTAATCATTTTGCAAAAACTACTGATCGGCGGATTAGAGTGTTTAGTACGTTTATGACAGGTGGGTCCAGATTTTGTTGACGTGGCATAACGGCTCGGCCGAGACAGCGTTAGATCGAGGATTTGACTAGATTTACAAACCAGTCCCTGCAATTTTACATGAAAACGCCTCAATCAAAATCAGAAAAGCATTCAGCTCCATGGGCTACCAAGCATGACGTGAGCAGAACAACCGATTCAATTCGATTCAGCTGCATCCACGGCATCTCAATGCACCCCAACTCGGCCAACATGTACGCCTGCTGCCTTCTGGCGCGCGTGGACATCACCGAGGGCGTTCCGCGCAACGCCGTCGTCGGCTACTGCCCCGACTGCTTCTCCTACCTCCAGCCGCCGCGCTCCTGGCTCTGCGCCGGCCCGGAGTCCCCCGAGTTCCTGCAGATCCTCCTGCGCCGCCTCAAGCACCCGCTCACCTGCCTCCGTATCTTGCTCTCTCGCGTCGAGTTTGTCTTCTCCGAGCCCCACTTTAAGAGAAAAGGCCAGAGCCCGACTTTATAAATAAAGCCACCAGCAGAGTAATAACAAACCACACATGCGAGCAACACATCATGACCCGAGTATCAACGGCAACCAGACCAAGCTAAAGTAAAACGTACATGGCTCCCAGGCCAGTACACGGCGCGCAAGCCGGAGACTCAAAAGACAGCGAAATCAGGGCCAACAACTCCTAATTGCCGGCTTGAGCTGGAGAAAGGGAGGTAGCAGTAGCCTGAATCTTGTACATCATGACATCAAAAGCATCCCGGTCCTCCTCCTTAGTCAATATTCTCCACTACTGCAAGAATATGCAAGTTTTAAATAAGCAATTAGTAGGTTTAACAGGAAATACATGTTCAATGGTAAACTTGTTCCTTGTCGTCCATAGAGTCCAACACACCGCAGCCAATCCCACCCAGAACAATTTTCTCTGGGCCCCAACCAAGTTAGAGGCCAAAAGACAAAGGTCTAAGAAGGAAGTGGGTCTCCAAGAAACATGCAACCACGATCTGATACAACACTAGAAAAGTTTAGCCAAAACACAGTTAAAGAAGATACGGGTCATGTCCTCTCGCTGCGCGCATAGGGCGCAACAGCCAGAGCCAGGGCCATTACGTTTGCGAATCTGGTCACCAGCCGGCAACCGCCCACGCGAGGCCTGCCATAAGAAAATCTTGATTTTTGGAGGAACGCGGGCCCTCCATATCCACTTGAATTTGGAAGTGTTCAAACCAGAGATCAACTTGCCATATAGGGATTTAACAAAGAATCCACCAGACGAGGAGTGGGGCCAGGCCACTGAGTCCTCCACCTCCGAGAGCGTAGGGAAGAAGGCAATGGGGCGCTGCTAGTCGACCAACTCTTCAGGAGATAGAGAACGCCGCAGCTGGAGGTCCCAATTATTGGCAGAGAGCTCAGAGATTGAGATCTCAGGGTCAAGGCAGTAAGAGAAAAGGACAGGAAAGGAAGCCGCAAGCGTGTTCGTACCGCACCACCAGTCAAGCCAAAATCTAGTGGATCTGCCATTATGCACAACAAATTTGACTAGGCCTTGGAAAACAGGCCTAAGTTTTACAAGCTCTTTCTAGAACTGAGAGGCGCCCGTGGCACGGGCAAACATGGGGCTCGAGGAAGGGAAGTATTTGGTTTTGAGAATGTTAAACCAAAGGGGTTTATCCATGGTGGCGGACATGATCTTCCACCACCATTTGATGAGCAGGCACTTGTTCATGACTAAAGTATTAATAATGCCCAGCCCCCCGAGGCTCTTGGGTCGGCAAATGTGTTCCCATTTAACCATGCGATAATTTCGCTTGTTATCAGCCGCATTACAATAGAAGGAACCTCTATGTTTATCAAACCCAGCGTGTGTACCATTAGTGAGAAGATAAAAACTCATCACAAACATAGGGAGGGATGAGAGACAAGCGTTAATCAGAACAACTTTTCCAGCTTGAGTATTGTATCTACCCCTCCAGGGCATGACACGATTGCCAACTTTGGCCACCGTAGGTGTGAAGTCTTTGGCCAAAAGTTTGTCAGAAGAGATAGGAATGCCAAGGTACTTGAGGGGGAAGAAGCCTAGAGAATAGTTCAGCAAGTGGGCTACACACAAGGCCTCGATCTCCAAAACACCAGTGACGATCACTTTCACTTTTGGAAAAGTTAATTTTCAAGCCCGATAGTGCCTCGAAGCAAAGAAGGAGAAACTAGAGATGGGAGAGGCAAGCATCATTAAGTTCCACCATAATAATCGTATCATCGGCATACTGTAGATGAGTAATACCTTCAGGGATGAGATGCGAGCTCACCGGCGTGATGTGTCCATCCACCACGGCTCTAGACAAAATATTAGAGAGAGCATCCGCAACAAAGTTAAAAAAGGATGGGAGAGGCCGGGTCTCCTTGCCTGAGGCCTCTGGAATTCTTGAAGAAGTTAATAACCCTCCCATTGACAGAAATAGCAGTGTGGCCCCCCGAGACCATCTGCATAATTCTGTGAACAACGCCACCATCAAAACCCTTGGACAGAAGAACCTGCCTTAAGAAGTCCCAACTCACGGAATCATAAGACTTCTCAAAATCCAACTTAAGGAGAACTGCCTTGTTGCCAGATTTATGGATATCATGGATGATCTCATGCAGGCAAAGGACCCCATCAAGGATAAAGCGACCTTTGACAAAGGCGGATTGAGTAGGAGAAAGGGTGCGATGAGAAACTGGTGTAAGGCTAGTGGCCAAACATTTGGCGGAAATTTGGCAAAAATATTAATCAGAGCAATAGGCCTAAACTGGGAAATGAGCTCCGCACCCTTGACTTTAGGAATGAGGGAAATAACATCATAATTGAGTCTAGAATGTCCATCGTCCCCAAACAGAACCCTTGGATAATCGCACAAATAAGCGCTTTAAGTTGAGCCCAAAAAGTCTTGAAGAAAGGAATTGAGAAGCAATCTGGGCCAGAAGCAGAGTGAGCATTAGCTTTATTGATAGAAATAAAGATTTCCTCTTCAGAGAAAGGAAGCATAAGAGCAGAATTTTCATCCAAAGAGACCCGGTCGCAGTTGTTCCAGAAAGAAGAGGAAATTCTAAAGCCTAGATCTGGTTTGGCAGAGAGAACGGAAGAGAAGAAATCAACCATGTGGTCCATGAAAATGCCTTGGTCTGAGAATTTTAACCCGTTGATCATCAGGTTGTCAATCGCGCATCTTTGACGCTAAAAGCAAAAGTGCTCCCTGGGTGGTTTTGGTAATTAATGTCAACATATCTCTTGTTGGACTAATCCTTTATCTAGTATATTTCAGATGGGTTCAACAGTGGAGTGGCGTGGACAAGAGAATGTGGAACCCCTTCAAGATGCTAAGGACAGAAGATTGGCAAAAGCTCAAGATTCTACATTTTCATTTTAGTGATCCAAGATCACATTGAGTCCATAGGAAAGCCAATACTATAAAAAAGGGGTTGAGGTGTTGCTTAATGGCTTGGTTGCTCAAAGTGCTTAGTGATATGCTCCAAATCCCTCAACCACTTTCTCATATCCACATATGTCCCAAACCAAAAGTCAAACTCAGCCCCACCGATTTGATCTATCCGGCGCCACCGAGTTCATTTGATATAGCCACTAACAGAAACCCTAATCAGTTCGGTCTCACCGGTGGGATCTCGGTCTCACCGAGATGGGCTTACAAACTCTCTGACGGTGTCCTGGACTAGGGGGTACTCACCACGTCATCTCCCAATCTGTTAGATTGGGCCGAGGACCCCCATGGCCGTATACTCATGGGCCAGTCCGGTCAGCTGCCGCATACAAGGAAGATTCCGCAAGACTCGATGATCAAGACAAGGACTCCTCCCCCACCGGTGTATTCGGCTAGGACTCTTGTTATCCTAGGCCTCTGGTGCATTATATAAACCAAGGCCAGGCTAGTCGATAGACATATACAACAATCATACCATAGGCTAGCTTCTAGGGTTTAGCCTCTCTGATCTCGTGGTAGATCAACTCTTGTATTACCCATATCATCAATATTAATCAAGCAGGAGTAGGGTTTTACCTCCATTGAGAGGGCCCGAACCTGGGTAAAAACATCGTGTCCCTTGTCTCCTGTTACCATCCGCCTAGACGCACAGTTCGGGACCCCCTACCCGAGATCCACCGGTTTTGACACCGACATTGGTGCTTTCATTGAGAGTTCCGCTGTGTGTTCGGCAAAGGGTCGATGGCTCGCCTGCAGATCAACTGCGACTTCGGCATCTTCATCACTAGCTCGGCTGGTCACCTTGGTTCGACCAAGGACTGCGCCCTACCTCCAATCGTCATGTTCGGATGAGGGCCTTCATCAACATCTGCTCCGATCTCTATCAAGATCAAGGAGGAATCATCCAGGGAGCCCGGGGGCTCAACGTCAACATTGCCCTCGGGCGACCGTGCTGTTTTTCTGGACAGCGAACTTGTATCCGCCGTCACCGCCTCCTCGAGCACTGGTTTGACGATTGCTTAGGTGGAATAGTGTGGAATTACGTCTACAACAGCCACGCTAAATTTCGTCGAGTTCCGATGGAGGAATCTCCGACAATCTATGATATACCGGAGCCCTGTCAAATCTAGACGAGAATCTGGACGAGTTTAGGGCGTGGTGTCCAGCTTCTACTTCGGACGTCCTTTGGAAGATCCAACCGTTGATCGGCTGCAGAATTCCTATATCTACCACCTCCCAAAATTTCAGCTCGATCCGACCGTCTAAACTCCATGAACCTTCCGATTAGTGCATCACTTTTCGGATCTGTTTTCTGCGCGAAAACGAATCTGACCCGAGTTCGTCTTTTTTATGAACGGGAATTCGGACATCCTTTTTGAAGGAAGTTTTGTATGGGGTATCGTGTTTTGTTCCCGAACACATCCCGCTAACCTTAAAATCTTTTGAACATGATCTTCAACATCATGCTGGTGTCAAACCAGTCCGGCAATATTGCTCCACGGCTGCCGACCTGCGCTAGACATGTCGTCACTTTGTTGAGCCGCGCTCAACTTCTTCGGATCATCATCTCGGCAAGCCGAACAAGAGTCCGGCATCACGAAGGATAAATCATCACCAACATCGCCGCCCCACGGATTACATGGAGCGGGCACACCTGCATCGCCGCCCGGTCACTTCATCAAGCCGGCATCGACCACGTCACGACCTGCATCGGCAGGGCCGCACTATTGCTTTTTCAAGCTGGTGTCCATCACGCCGACCTACTTCGACTCATTGGCTGACATCGAGGCTTCATCACGTTAGCTGGACTGGGGGCTTCATCATTTCTTCATCAACCTACTCCGGAGACTTCGGCGTCGCTGGCCGACCAGCTCCGTCACGTTAGCTGGAGCGAGGGCTTTGCCTCGGCGAGCCAACCTTTGCCAGCATCGCCATGCCGTTGCTTTATTGCCCATCAGGTGATAGGTGTACGGATCGAGTCCCAATTTTGGGAATCACCTTTCTTCGGATTGCTACAACAAATAAGCCAGGTGCTATTAATCC